AGAGGTCGGAATTATGGGCCGACAACGCTTGTTTTTTGCACCACCATAATACACCCTTGCGTACGGCATTGATTGAATTTTCCGACAAATTTTCAACCAATTTCTTGCCGCAACCACCGTTTTCGCCAACACCTACTTAGCTCCGTGGGACTTCTGGCTATTCAGAAAATTCAAACGATTGCTTCGGCGAAACCGGTTTGAGTCTATTGAAGACTTTAAACGAGAATCGCTTTGCGCATTGAACGCTATTCCGCAAATTTACTTTAATATCTGTTTCGATGGTTGAAAAAAACGCTGGCATGAGACCAAGGGGATTACTTTGAGGGGGACCAGATAGATTTTGAAGAATAAATCACAAATTTAAAATTATGAACAAAGTCTTACTACTTTTTTGCTTATAACAAAAGTCTCAAATTATAATCATATTCTGTTAATAACAGTTTTTAACTCGAATTGGTGGTGGATCCAAACATGGTTGGTCCAAAGTAAATAGACAGAAGAAGGTTTTTTATAGGCAACACTAAAATTTATTAGCAATAGAATTTTAAAGTGTTTACTGTTGAAACGACATTTTATCAAAAGACATTGTGGCCTTTGTTTATACACATATTAATATATACTCTTGTATCATTTTACTACAAAGCATAATCGTTTTGTTCGCCTAACGATTCTTTGTATCACCTAAAACTAATCGATATATTTATATATATAATCAAAATTACGAGACGAGTTGAATTCCGAGTGACTGACTGTCCGTCCATCTGTCTGTTCGTCTGCCTGTACAAGCTGTAACTTGAGTCCAAATTGAGATATCATAATGAAACTTAAGGTAGTGCATGGGTTCCTTGATAAAGAAGTGAGAATGAGAATTATAGGATGGGCGTAGCTCCGCCCTTCTTTAGGTGAAATCAAGACAACCGTGACCGATTTCAATCAAATTTGGTTCGTGATATTTCTGTAGTATTTTTATGTTACAAACAGTTTGAAATCGGAATACAGCCACGCCTACTTCCTATCTAACACAATTATAAATTTCATTTGATTCTTTCCCTTTTCAGAATACAAATCAATAAGTTATGAATTTAATGAGATAAACTTTTTACGAATAGTGTCTTTGATGTCTGACACCTTATGACCAATAATTGACCAAATCGAACCAAAACTGTTCAAGTTTGTACCGAATATGGCCAAAAATATCAGACAATATGTGATATGTGTGTCCAAAATGGCTTGAATCTGGTCAATATTTTTTAGCCCTCATATTCCAAATATTAAGATTTGTTAACAACCGGGTGGCATTTGCTTGGCTTCAATTCTTGCAAAAGTATAAAATTTTCGGAACCTCTATCAGGCACAAGATTATCTATTAATAAACCTAATTTTGTTTGATCGAAAAGATTTAGATGAATCTTAAAGGATTAGTGATATGATCACAGTGAGTAGCTTCGGTTTGAATTGGATCAAGACGGCTACTTTTAAAAATTATTAATTTTATTTCAAATTTCTGTCAAGTCCAGTCAAAAGCTTTAGTTAATGATGCTAAGATTTTAATTTTGCATTTTTTGTACTCTTCGACTGCACCTAACCTTCTAAGTCGGCATATGAATGATAGTGAATTGTCCGGATTTATTTAATACTTATAAGTGCATACAATAACGAACGCAAAACGAACAAGCGACCGATAGTTTTTGCTTACTGTTCATTATTATGAACATGTATGAATAATTTACAGAAAAACATTCAAAATATAAGCGGGCATAAGTTCAACTTTAATATCTTGTAAAAGTGGATAACTGGCCGTAATTCATTACGTTATAATTGGACCTCTCTGATATATTTTCTGCCAATTGTAAGTATTTGAGTCTAGAGACATTTTACAATAGGAGTCGGAGACCTTTAGCTTTTCTTGTGACAATGGGTGAACATAGAGGCTTGCTTGGAGATTATCGCTACAAATAATTTTCGATCAATTCAAACCTTTAGAGACGTTTCTCGGGAGGGAACCTTCCAAGGATTACGTACCTTACCCGTAACGTTGGGATTACGCTGAGGAATAATTTTATTTATTTTATCAGAAGTTTTATTTTTTGTATTTTAAGGAGTATCACTCACTCAAATCCAATAAATATTACATCAATCTGTTAGGTATTGGTAATTTACTTACGTTCATTAAACATTATCCATGAGATATTTGTATATACTGATTTGTGAAAAGTCGTATGGAGCAAACAGATGTTATATACATTGACGAATTACACATTTATTTTTAACATAATGATATCAACAACTTAAGGTGCAACAACCACTGCGAAACCGAGGCAATCCGAAATAGCTATAATAATAATAACAACAACAACAGGGCAATAACATTCGCTGCGATCTTTCACTTTTGTGTGCCCATTTTTCTGTATCAGTGCACGTACACACACTCGTGCTAGTGGTAGTGAATGAGTTCGGAAGTCATTGCGGTTATGAGAACCCGGTGTTCTAGAAGCTCTAAGTGGTGCCCAACCGCACGAGGCATTACCTCTTGCTCCAGCTGTGGGAGCAACTGCCACGGCAATCCCAAATTCAACCTTAACCGTTCAGTTTTCATATATGTATGTACATATGTATCTATTTTCGCTTGTGAACTTAACATCCATATGAATGTATGTATGTATGGCAGGCTTTATGTAAGCACTTTAGACATTGGCAAGGCATTGATAATTTACACAGGAGGAGCAACTTTAAAATGATATTGTATGTGTGTATTTTCATGATTACTTTTTCTTAATTTTATTTATTTTTATTTTAACACATTTGTACGTGTGAGTGTGCGCTTGGGTGTACGTATTTATTTGCAAACTAAATCGTCTTGCCCACACTCGCGCGCACTTCATACAACAATGGCAAACTCATGCGTGATACGTGTATAGTGTGTGTACAAGGGGTTGTGCACATGCCACGCTTTCCACTTTTGCTACGTATATGTGTTAAAAAATGACTTGAATTTTTAAGTGTGCATTTGTATGCGCTTTCATGCCTCTAAAAACAGTCAGCATTAAGATGATGATGATGACTCCGCTAATCATGAGAAATTACAGCAATCTCTGCAGAGTTTGGTTGTAATTATAATTTATTTCATGTGTCGATTTTGGGAAAATGTTTACTTTTTATTCGGGTCTAAATTCGTAGTTGTTATGTTCGAAAATTCGAATTTGTGAGACATTTACACATTTATAAACTCACATTGGCATATATATGTACATATGTACATATACATATGTTAATAATACATTTAAAAAAAATTATGAACAATATCTGATTTGGAAAATTCGTATTATTTTCGATGTTCGTTACGAGGAATACCCCACTCAAATCAGAGCATTAGAGAGGGAAATTATAAATTCCAGTTAAAAATCTAACTAAAAGGAAGAGATGTGTACCAACTGAAAGATTTTATTCTTTTGGGGCTAGTTGGTTTGCTCCTTAATCGACCTAAACATTTGTATATTATTCTTTAAATCGTGTGAGACGGGTATATGTACAGGACCAGTTTTCTGACATGACTTTGGCACAGATAGAAATACTCGTTGTTTATATGAAGAAGAGACAATCTGCGGTCTGTAGTTTATAACTAGTTAAATTTAACTCAAGGCAAAACATCAATTCAAATCTTAAACTCTTTTAAGATGGATTTGAAATGGACTTTAGTAATATACAATACTTTAATAATAATTGATTCTAAAAATCAACTTTTTAGCAATATTCCTTAGAAATGTTTATTTCATCCAAATGGGCAAAGCGAGATCTTGAACTTCCAGCATTTGTGTGTATACTTGTGTGCGGCATAAATATAAATTTATGTGTATGAATACGTCGGGAACTACATTTACACATTTTTACACCGTCGTGAAAATTGTTTGCTTTTCTTTCTTCATTATATTCCACCCATAAGGCAGGCGGGCCACCCTTGCGCAAAATTACAGCTCAGGAGAGGCATTTGCCGTACCTAAGTAGTATTATATAGGACAGCTGGCAGTCTTGAGAAATTTCACACGACAGACGAAACTTTGTGGAAGCAAGTGCCTCAATTATAATTGCAACTATGTCCGGCTTATCAGTTGCATCATTTTCCCTGTTTTCTTTTTTGTGTTCAAATTTCAGTTTCTTCTTCATTTAGAGTTTTTTACAAATAATGAACGAAAATACATATGATCGTTAATATGTATATACATTCATATATGTACTTAATAATAATAAGACCACACAATGCAACAAGTGCAACAGCTATGTCGGGTTTTTATGAGCACTTTCTTCCATACATATTTATGCACCAAGTAGAAAATTGTACTGTCACCAGACTTGTGCACCGGATACTAACATGGAGAGCTACAAATAGGCATCTGAACTACTTGTATTTGAACACAATTACAATGGTTCTTTCTAAATACTAGTGGGTCCTGACAACCATTTAGCCATTTGGGTAATTCAGAAATTTATGGTGAATTCAACAAGTTTAAGCTATAAGCAAGTATATTCCAATCCTAGCAATTTCTAATAATACACAAAGACTAGAAACCATAACGAACATGTATCGAGTTAAAATCTGATATCCATTCGTTTCGATGTAGTCAGTATTTGGGCCGACGTAATTTATTGATGGTGGGTTACTTTCGTATGTATGTATGCACATGTACGTGTTTGTTTGTATTGCATGTTGTTTTCAACTGACTTTTCGAGTTTTCTGTTCAATTCGGCTTATGATTTATGCCTAGTTTTTTCTAATTATTATCTACACCATTTGTTTTCTTTCTCCTCTTTGCTGCACTAGTGCATTTTTGTCAATGTATTCGTGCATGAACTCTCAACTGGGTTAGTGTGAAGAATATCAATGAATTGGAGAATCTTTACACATTCACCACTCGTGCGCACAATCACCGAATGACCAAAGAGAGTAATATAAAACACACGGTAAATAAATCGATTGCTTAAACGGTTATTCAAATAATAATTACTCAGTTGAAATATTTGCAACAATAACGGCAAAGTGCACACCACAATATTTCGTTTTTATTTACGAATTCAGTTCAGTCCGCTTCGCGACGTTTACACCGCAACTTCCCAAATGAAACTATCGTTTTCGCGCTCAAGGCAAGCCCGAAACCTGCTTCAATTCTCAATTTGGTCAATCGAATCCAAAGTTTTAACTGAGTACGAATACTCTGATGAGGCGGCGCAGCGTTTGAGCCATGGTCAACAATGGCATTGCCATCGCCGCATGAAGTCGGTGAGATCATCAGCTCTCTCGACAATGCCTGACCAGAGAACATAACCGTTTGCATGTGTGCATGGGATAGTAAGTGCCAATACCGACACTTGCGTTGCCAACTATGTATATCTTATGTATATGTAAGACTACAGTGACATCCATAAAAAAGTCATATCAACATTATTTAACAATTTTGAAACGTTCAATTTAAAATGATTGCCTAAATAGAAAATGAGTTTATGGGTGTTCCGTTATTCTTTTAAATTAGAGCATTTTTGGTGTGCTTCGCAACGAGATACAGGCTAATTTAAAGGATACCATTATCGGGGACAAACTTAAGATCATCTAGTACATCCTCGCTTACGTATACCTCCAAATGTAGTGCTGTTAGATGCTAGATATACTCTATTGAGTGGCAAAAGAGAGGTTTATCGCATGCGCATACTCTTCTTTGGATGGTTGTTACACCAGATCAAATTGATGAACTCATTTCTGCGGGAAGATCCAGTATTATACGAAGTGATGAAAAGCAATATGATTCATGGCACTTGGGGACACACTTCGGTTTGTAAGTCTCACAATAAATACACGAAATAATATCCATGTGCTTTTCTTTCGGAAACGCAAACTGGAGATGATGGATATCCACTCTATCGGCGTCGCCTACCAGACGACAATGGCGTGAACATAGAGGTGTGTTCTCTGACACCTCGTTTTGTACCGAATGGCTCGGAGAGGTCCTTCCCGATTTTTAAGGATTTTGTTGGTCAACGTCAGCTAAAGCCACACTGATAATGTCCAATCAGTTTGTTGACGGTGTGCTTTACTCTTTCACACAATACGCTCGATAGAACCTTATATGCGATGTTGTGGATTCTTATACCACGGTAGTTGGCGCAGATTCCAAACGTTGGGCGTCGCGTCCGACCATATTTTTCAAAGAAGCTGATGCATGCTCCTTATCAGTTCTTCGCCACCGTGTTTGAATAGCTCGACCGGCAATCCATCGACTCCCGCCGCTTTGTTGTTCTTCAGGCGGGTAATTGCTATTCGAACTTCTTCATGGTCGGGCAATGGAACGTCTGCTCCATCGTCATCAATTGGGGAATCGGGTTCGCCTTCTTCTGGCGTTGTGCATTCTCTTCAATTCAGCAGGCTGGAGAAGTGTTCCCTCCATAATTTAAGTATGCTCTGGGCATCGGTGACTAGATCACCTTTGGGGGTTCGACAAGAGGTCTTCGGTCTTCAAACCTTCTGCAAGCCGCCGCTTTTTTAGTAGAATTTTTGAGCATTACCCTCTTTAACATTTCGGCCTCTTTCTTTTTCTGTCTGTAATTGCGAAACTCTGGCCTATTTTGTAACTAGGGACAAATCATACTAAAAAAATGGTATCGAAAAGTTGAAGGGTCGCTATGATCAGTGTATCACCTTTGAAAGGAAGGTGTTGTCGGATACCATATTAGGTATATACATAATTGTTCAGTGTGATGAGTTTAATCAATTTAGTCATGTCCGTCTGTATATATGCGCACTATGCCCTCAGTTCTTGATATATTCTACTCTTCTTGCTGACATCAGCTTTCCCCAATTGTAATTTTGGTCCTTTCGAAGTATAGCTTGCCTGGTCCAATTTTGGATTTTACTTCATAGCAGCGGCGGATTTATTTGCCCTACGTCCAGTCTGATACGCCAACCGTTTTGATCAACAAAATCAGGGCCGGCAATTTGGGCAATTGCATAGGGCGCAAGAATTTTATGGCAACATTTTGGCAAATTTTCTTCGGATATTTTATTAATTTTTTTGTTTTTCAATTTTTATTAAATAAAATATAAAATAATTTACAAAATTATTTCATTTGCATATAATATTATACATAAAATTCATAGTTTAATATTTTTGCATTCCAATACAAATTATAGCAACAAACGGAGTATTATCAAGTTTTTTAATAGCAGAACCTTAAAATGTTGTAGATATGTACTTATATGTATGTAATTTGAAGTAGTGGGTCATAATCAATGAAATACTCAATTGCGAATTTTTTACCATACGTTATTTTGCATTTTAGATGACGATATGTAGTTTCGATTAGAAATGGCAGTGCAATTACGTAAGGGAAGAATTCGGGACGCTACGCAAAATTTTAAGAAACCACTACTACTTTGCCATTATTTATAATGCATTGTTTTCAATCGATGAAAGATGCGATCAGTTGAAATTTAAATGCATAATAAATTGGATGCATTTAAATTGATCAACTTATAGAAATGGGAACGTAGTACAAGCTATTATAGAAAAAATAGTCATACAACTACACCACTAGACGTTTCGAATTATATTTGTTGAAATGAATTAATACTTGTGTTGCTACCAATTCCTGTGTCCGTAGCTAACGGAGAACGCAGTTTCTCTAACTGAAAGTCACAGCTCAAAGTCAGAAAATTTGAACATTTTATACTCCTGCAATTATATAAATACTAGAGGATAATTCCACGCTTCACTGTGGCTGATATATAGATAATACTCCTACTCCCATCTATATGATTTCTATTAGTTGGATTATAACTATTAGTTAATGAGATATAGCATTTTTGTGAAGCAACTTGCGGTAGTTTACAAAAAATTGGATCATAAAGCATTTCGTGTGTTAAAAAAGCATTGCTTTTTTTGGGGAAAATTCTGTTGAATTTGTTCTCAGGGAAATAGACCGTTGAAAAGATATCTGCTAAGCCGGAAACAGGCGAAATGAGAATAGTAGGTGCCTAACAAGTTCATAATCCAGCAAAAGCAATGAATAACTGATTCTGAGAAGTGTTTAAGTGCTCTTTAATCGGAAAAAGCCGAATTTTTGCGTTACTAATAGAAACAGTCATTCTAGTGGACTGCACATGATGAACAGGTTCTCATGCGTGGAAAGACGAAAAAGGCGGCTGGAAAGGTTATAAAATCAGTCTTTTTTGATGCACGTGCATACTCAACGTCTATATGGTTGCATCTTTTCTACTATTCCAAATACTTAGCAACTTAGTACTATTTTTGAGGAAGGATCTAATTAAAATTGTACGCATATATTCAAATGATTCCTACAAACATGAATTTTGCAATTATTATTTTTTCAGTCAAATCGGTTCAGCCGTTCTTGAAATAGGTGTAACTAACACAACTTTCTTTTATATGTATATCGTCACCTGAAATGCAAAATAACGTAACAACATTTTCGGAAATTTACAGTGGCATGAATTAAACAAGACATAAAATGGAACATGAGTAAACAAAATTTTTAATATTGGTTAAAACTTTTTTATATCTGAGCGCAGAACCGGAAGGTGACGATATGTATATAGATGTGAGGTTTTTTATTGTTTTTGTTATTTTTTTTTTTGGTTTTGAAGAAATGAAATTCTCAAATGATTTCTGCAAACATGACTTTTTAACAAATACTTATAATTTGAAATATAATTTTTGCTTTTATGAGTTGTATTGGATTCTAATATAAAAAAATGAAAATTAGCCTATGGTCTTACCCTAGTTCTACACTACCTCCTCACCAATTTTCAGCCAAATCCGTTCAGCCGTTCTTGAGTTATAAATGGTGTAACTAACATGACTTTCTTTTATATACATAGATATACATATACCTATGTATATAACTCATGCATTGACATATGATATATATAATAATTTTCGTTTTTCTAAGAGACTTTATGCCGAATATTTACCTATATAACTCCGATTATTATATACTTATATATCATATGTATGCATTATATGGGATTTGGGATAATATCGACAGGATTTTATGTATTATATTTTTGGTAGTATCACATACTATACATATAATAAAATGTTCCCTGAGATGCAGTGAGGTACCTCACATAATATCACTAATCATATGGAGTGAAAGCCACCCCATACTATATATTTTTGTTATGTGGGGGTTAGGCCAAGTTTTCCCCCGATTTTACCTATTTCACGAACAATTATGTTCTGTTCTGAGTAAAACTCGCTCTCACATTTTCATTGAGATAACTCACATGTCGGCCGATATGTGCGATATAAAGAAACCCGGAAATTCAGAAATCTTTTTTGTCAGGTGTATGCAATTCCTTACTTCCCTATTGATCCGATTCAACCTATTTTGACACACAGACATAATATTGTAAGAAAAGGAAGGATCAATACTTAAGGTAAAAAGTCAACCATAGGTAGATTCCAAATATGTATGTATACATATGTGTTATCTACTACACAAATATGCATAATATTTAAAACCTTCTTAAGAATCATAGATATCGTAGTCTGTGGTGCCAGGTAAACCCCAATTTTTTATCATGGTAAGGTAACTCAAAACTATCTATCCATTTAGTTACTATTCATCTTTTCTTGAGCAATAACTGAATAGAATAGTTTTAACTTTTGGTTTAAAATTTTTTTAATGTTTAATTATGTGTCAAATTCTGATATTTTGGGTTGGTTATACCAATGAAACTTCGACTGGCAATAGTTAATGTTCATAATACCAAAAAAAAAATTTGGTGATTCTGTAGTTTGCTTTAACTTCATTGTAACTGAGTAGAGTTGAAAACCGTTCTAACGGTATATGTTAAGCCTTTGGAGTATGAGTGTTTCTGATTGGTTTTCTATAGTAGTGAATTTAGACGATCTGCCTCATAATCTTATAAAATGAATGTTTCTCTCCGACTCAAGCAAATCATTCGATCCACTGAGTTTTATTGCGCCTTGTACAATCAAGGTTTGGTTACAAAAACTTTGACGCTCAAATGAGAATTCGGGTGAATCAGGCCCTTCAGAAATTGCAAACGAAGAGTTGGCACATCATTGGGAGTTACAGCAACCGTCAACGCTAAGACTAAACCACTTGGGTTTGAGTTTGGGCTTCTGATTCGCAGTCTCTCATTTGTACCGATGCACCAGAAGTCGCATACGTACTTTATTGTCGCATGCAATCTACGGACGGTACGATTAAGGTCATGCTAGTAGCAGCGCGAGCCAGAGTATCACCTCAGAAAGCGATCTCGTTTCCACGACTCGAGCTTTGTGCGGCTCATTCGGGGTCAGAGTTAGTGAAGGACGTAAATTCAAATGTGTACTACACCTCTAAACTATACACATGACCGGACTTAACGGTTACATTTGTGTGATTAAAAGGCAACCCTAACCGCTGATCTGTATTCGTGAAAAATCGCGTCGCTGAAGTACAAAATGTTCTGTTAATCCCGCTGATTGCGCTTCAAGGGGCTATTACCGTCACAACCACATCAACTTTGGTGGCAAGGTCGCCAATATCTGCATGAGAACAATAATAGTTAGCAGATCTCTGAAGAATCGCACACTTCAGATCTTGGGCTAAAATCTACCAAGACTACAGCCAGAGTGTCATGCAACAAATTTTGTGCATCTCCGCTTCCTTAGTACGTTTCATCAATAAGGAATAGTCTAGTGCCGGGATACGAAAATCGAGCAGTTTGTCCAGCGTTGAAAATCAAAACGCTAAAATAGTATTGGTAAAGTATACACAGTTTATTGCTTTTAAAAAGGAAATTTCTAATAATATAACAAAACAAAAGTGAAATGTGAGCTATATATGAATATAGTGTATATTTAAACAAAGTGAAAAATGTGAATAAAATTTAGTGAAACATTGTGAACTACTATGTGTAATTAATACAAATTTTTGAATTTTTAATCGGAAATATTTTATTCCTCCTCTGGAGAAACTGCCCTATCCGCACATACCCCATTTATACCGAAATTCGTTTTCGCTTTATACCAATAAAGAGGAAGCCTGTGTGAACTCGCGTTCTCGACTTCGATGTCCACACGCCTGGACACTTAATGATTGGCGACCCGGTAAAGGGACTTCTCGATCTTGACGGTGAGGTTTTCAACTGAATTTTATTTTGACGTTGACAACAATTGCGTCTTAGACAGCATTTCTGAAATCGTTTGCAAGACTTGTATCTTGTCAGTCTTCAACGCCGTTCAAAATGGGTAGGTTTAATGCGGAATTTGCAGAAAGATGGCATCGTTATCATACATAAAGGCAACACGCCCCCCATTATATGGAAACTTCGTCGTGTTATTGGCGCTTCTCCAAAACTGATAGTCAAGTTCGGGTTGTAAAATTGGTGAAATTAACTAAAGTATCAAAATACGTTCACGTTTAATAACGGCTAGATGTGTGATGCAAAAGCGGATTAAAATGAAAGACGTGCTAAATGTTCGAATTCCTTTACTGAAGAGAATGTTAAAACGGAAGCTAATTTGATAGCAATCTCATAAGTGTTGCCCAGCAATGCTTAAACATATGTTTATAAAGATGCTGCCAGATAGGCCTGAACAGTTATTAAAATATACGGGGTGTTGTGGAATCGAAGGTAGATTTGAATAGTTATCGGAATTGCAAACAAATTCTGATTATCGATGGTGTTACAGAATCTGATTGGATTTTTGTCATTTCGAGCAGAATCAAAACTTAAACTTAAAGTTTTTAATGAGTTCTGATTTAAAGGAAGATCGAATGTATAAACACACATTTGGGTGTTAAATTACTTTTTGCAAATCTTCTTTAAATATCTGTTTTTTTCCAAAAACTCAATAATTAAGGCATTTTGTGTTTTATTCTTATTTTTTTCCATAGAAATAAATTCGAACATCAAACCGGTAAAACAGTGTGGAAATTTTCGTAATCAGATAAATATTCTCTCATTCACTATTTTTCATCACTATTTTAAGCAATAAATATCAGTGCATATATTATTCCAGGCCACTCTTTTTCGAGTTCTTGAAATACTAGTTAAGTCTGCACTAGATCTTCAAATGATGTGTTGATTTAGTAAAAAAATATAAAGTTCTTGTAATTCAGCTGCACAAGTTCCCATAAAATTCAACTAGTAGGCTAATGAATTAATAGCTTTGATTCTTGACTGCACTACTAAATATAAACTCGACATAATGCGTGCGTTATCATAAGATTAGATACGAATGTTCTTTATATCAAAACCATTTTTTAAAGAAATATTAACGGAGCACCTTCAACATCCTTAGCCTTATGGCTAGTATTCGATATACGGTATAAGCAGATTTTCATTTACCAAAAAGTAGTTATGAATCATAAAACACTGATCTTTTAGGTTTACTATAAATCAACCATTAAACCATGTTCATAGTAGGGCTTTTCAATTTATTCGAATAGCCGGTTTAAAATAGTTCGTATGAATAACATTGTGATTATTCGAACAAGCATTGCTTCTGCTGCCAGTATTTGAATAAATAAAATTGTTTGAAATAGAACCATACTTTGATTTTAGCTTGTTATAAATTTGTTACATACCAATAGTTTCTACATATGTATAAACTTATTTACATAGAAAAACCATTTTAATTAATTATTTTAAAAACTGGACTATTCCAATGAATAAACCCTTACTTTTCGAATAGTCAACAATTGTCGAAAATGAACGGTTAATCGAATAGTCGACGGCCTACGACTATCCATAAACTGCAAACAGAATATTATTATTCTAATAATACCATATCCGGTTAATGCTGTGAGTCGATTATTACAGAACATCGTTGAAATTACTTAATTGTACCGTAAAATATCAATTGTTGGCCGTGCTTCTTCTTCTTATTTTGATTGAGAAAAATTTTATTGCATTTCGTTCAGTTCTGTATCTTGCAATAAAAAAGGATTTGATTGTGCTTCTATTGTATCTGAAGATCGCTGAAAAAAAGTCGGTAAACAGTTTTCAATAATTTATTTTTAATTTATATTTTTAAACATTATGGAAAAAATAATAACAATTGCATCAAGATACTAAAGTAAAAAGTTATGTAGTATTTTTCAAACAATGCTTTTATTAAAACGATGATTGATTAATAGAAATATTAATATTGTACCCAAGAATTACGAAGTCAAGGGAAAAATAATTTTTATTTAATTCATTGTCAATTTACTATAGATTCAAATAAAAAAAAACTGATTTTTGGAATAAAATCTTGGAATATTTCTTCAGCTGCAAAGCTTTAACGTTCTGACATTTTGCCGTCCCTAAATAGTGCCGTTCTAGGTCTTGGCTTCAAGGACTAGGCGGAAATCCATCACTTTTCATGAGCACAATAAATTTCTAAAAATAGTTCAGATCTGAGTGGAGCCCCACACTTAAGCATTCTACTTAATGGTCATAACATCATTGAAATCTCTTGTACTATATTAATACTTATAATTTATTATTTCTACCTGTTAATAAAAAAGCGAAATTCTAACGACGCTTACTTTTGTACTTCAACAGCGAACGTGATATGAAAGGTTTAAGATTTTTATGTTTTTTTCTTATAAAGCAATTATTATTGTTATTGCGTATTGAACACCAATGATTGTAATCAGCTGATCGCTACTGTGAAATTCATTTAAGACACACATTAACTAATTCATCACTCGAGTAGTTCCTTCGATCCTTGTTCCAAAATTCGGGATACGTGTACGTTATTGTAGTACATATATGTATATATTTAACTTATTACGTCCTTAAATCTATTTACCTTATGTTCACAAACATATACACTTAAATTTATTGCTGCTCTTAATTATTACGTATTAGATAACATAAATAGTACAAAGACTTTAGAATGAATTGGCGCTATCATCACTTGCATATCAAGACATACACACATAATTTTAGTAATTTATTGTTAATTTGTTTAAAACATGTTTGTGGATAAAAGGCGAAATACTGTTTTATTCACAGCCGAAAATTAAAGGCCGTTATTGGCTAACGTCTGAGGTTGTGCGTCCTGAGATGTACGAGGTAGCAGATATTGTTGAGAGGATCTTCGCTGAAACAAATCGGACACGTATTTCGCCTGCAAGGAAAAGAGAGATCATAGATGTTTGTTAAATTTTTTCTTTATTTTGGAAGCAGTTGATGCAGCTGTTCATTGGTAACTTAGTATGTATTAAAATCGAAATTAGAAATGAATACAATATTTCTTGAATCAACCTTAATCGGCGAGTTTCTGTTATTGAATGAAATTTAACGCTTGAAATATTTATTTGCAGACCAGTGTAGAGCTTACTCTAAGCAGAAATCAATTTATTAACAACTCTTTTAAAAAAGTCAAGAATATGCCAGCATTACAAAGAAGCTAAACTTGATCAGAAAATATGGCGCATGATTAACGTAACATCACTTTTCATTAGTTTACAGGCGAAGGAAAAACCATACAATCATAGAAACCACTCATATTGAAACAAAATTTTAGTTTCAAGCAACAAAAAACTCTATTTAGATTTTTTTTATTGTACCTGTTTTGCATATTATATGGGAAAATCAGTTCTGCATGCTATTCATAAAATGAGTAGAAAGTTTATTGACTTCAGATAATGTTTTGAAAATTTGTATTTTACTAAAACAGATAAATTGTTAAACAAAATTTGTATTAGATCTTATGTCTTAAAATCGGGAAATGGAAATTCTTTTAAACTACAAGTATATGCAGATAAGAATCGAATTGAATTATACACCAGTACTTCTGCATGTAAAATTTTATGTGTATATTTTATTAAAATGTTAAAATTTGCTAGTTAAAAAAGTAAATGATAGCTGGTTCTATGTTTCAATAATAATAAAATATATGTAAAAACCATTAAACCTTACTATTTAACTGAACCTATTCCGAGACTTACTAAAAGTGGTAACTCAGTTTTAAGTTATTCTTATACCGGAAATTTGTACTGTCTTACAGTCACAAGTCTCTAATTAAATTAGAGAAAAGATTTGTGACTTGAGTCGGTTTCGCAATTCAGTACGTAACAGTCACAAAAATCTCTCAATTGGAAACGAAAAGGTCTAAACAGCTCTTACATTTGTAATATATATTGTCATAAATAAATGTATGTGAAATTGATTTATTTTTAACTTTTTCGTATTTGAGTTGCTCACAAAATATAAAAAGAACGACAATCGATTAATGTCTGTGATGGTATCTGTAAGTGAAGTATCAGTTGTCCTCTTACAGAATTGCGCTATCAAATTAGGCAGTTTTACATATAGATAAGGTTAATGCCGTTTTTCTTGATTTAAGACGGAAAAGTTCGGCTTTCGGATTTGAAAAGGAAATGACTCGTAGGAAATACAGTGGAGACAAATAAAATAAAACGACTGCTAATTTTATTGCTCTTTAAAGTTCTCGTTTTTTATTTCAAGTCTCAGCTTTTGAACTTCGGATTAAACGCTTTATCTTTTCTTTTTACGCCATAATTATCCTTAAGTCAAGTTGACAAATCGTATATATATTCGTATATTTTCTGCATAAAATTGTAAATAGTTTTAATCTGTTTTTATAATGTATTTAATGGGCCCCAATGTATTCCAATTAAACCAATCCTTCGGAACAAATGAACGCTAGAAGAATTAAGGAGATATGGTGTCAGTGAATATGATGTGTTCTTATAAGTACATATATACATACAAACATATGTAAACACAAAATTTTAAATTTCCTAAGCACACATACATATGTATGTATGTAGGTGTACATTAGACTGGTCTTTTTTATATGGGAAATTTTTATTTTTGCAAACAGAGTGTATCGCCCCGCAAATTTTTCCTTTTTATGAAAATAACGAAATTCCAAAATCTTAAACTGATTGCCCTAGGTCAAGGCTTGGTACATGCCCACTAAAGTGGCCAAATCCGGTTTATATGGACTTTTCAAGAGACAAGGCACGAAAATATAAGTAAAATGTTTCATACATGTCTTTAGTATATTAATATATTGAAATTAACTTACGTTTAATGATTAATATTCTTTATAATCATTTAAACTTAAGCGCAAAGGTCTGATTTATTAAAGCTACCGTATTTTTTCCTATACTCAGTTACTGTTTGCATAAAAGTTTTAAAACATAAGCCTTTAAAAAAAATCGCAAAAAAGCAACTCTGTAAACATATATTTAAATCGTAAAATAAAATGTTGACAACAACAGAGGAAAGTCAACATCTGGTCAATACCGTTAGTTTTGAGCCGCGAGGCAATTAAAAGTGTGTAAAAAGTGAAGTGTATTTATTTTGAGCTTTGAATCATAGAAACATTATTGCTTTAAAGAGAATTGATATTGATTGTATTTGCAAAATGGACACAAGAGCTAGTGAAAAAATGTATTTATTAGAATATGACGAAAGCCAAATTGTTGGATCTAAGCTGCCTTTCAATGGGCAAGTTTTGAAAGTGTTGTTTTATAACATGCGTAAAGTGAAATTGGATCTTCGTTCAAGTGCGTATCTGGTTATCAAAGAGGTCGAAATTCTTTGGAATAAAGCCCGTATTCCAGTGCGCCAAATTGATAGAAGTGTTCAAAAAGTTGAAGTTTTATATAAAGAATGGAAAAATATGCAAAAAACTTGCAAACGCAGCACACCACTTCAAAAAATGCGAGAAGATCAGTTTATTAAAAATATGAATAACTTATTTGACATTGCGCACGGAAATGTGTTTGATCTAATTAAAATAGAAGAAGATAAAGAGTTTTTAAAGAATCAACGTAAAGAGGGTAGACCTGGTGCAATGGTGGGATGCGGTCGTTCATTATTTGAAAAAGAAAAGCGAAGAAATACTCGTATTGAGAAAGAGGTAATCCGAAAAGGAAAGCAGGGTGGAGAACAATTCCAAGTATTCCTAACAACGAATGATTTGAGTGACAATAATGAAGAACTAATTGATGTATACGACAGTGATGATAATACTGATCAAACTGCTAACTGTAGCTTTCAACAAAAAAACAGAAAACGAGGAAACATTTTATCACTTCATAGCTTGTTCTGATAGCTGCGGCTGAAGCATTGGAATATGATATCAGTACATTGGTAATCAGCAAGACATCGATTCGGCTTTGCCGTAAACAAATTCGTTCGGAAACTGCTGCAAAACTGATGACGGATTTTAAAAACAGCAATATAAATCAAATTACGGTACATTGGGATGGAAAAATTTTACCGTCAATCACAGGAAACGCAAAAGTGGACAGATTACCAGTTGTGATAACAACAGATGGCATTGAACATCTACTTGGAGTACCTGCCCTGTCAGCTGGTACTGGCAAAGAACAGACAGACGCCATACTCGAACCATTAAAGGAATGGAATCTAACAGAAAAGGTATTTAAAAGTAATTTCTTATAATAGTAAATATTAACAACATTCTTTCCAAACAAGGTAGAAGCTTTATGTTCTGATACTACCGCGGCAAATACAGGTAGATTACAAGGTACTTGCATTTTATTAGAACAACACCTCAATAGAGAATTGCTATATCTCCCTTGCCGTCATCACATATATGAGCTCTTGCTGAAAAGTGCTTTCGCGAAATATGATTTAAAATTAAGTGAATAAAAAAATAAATCTTGCGCTAAACAAAGCTGAACAAGACCAATTAGCTCAATTCGCTCATAACTATATCACTAAACAACATCCCAAGGCGGACTACAAGGAGTTATTGGAATTAAGAATTATATTTCTTGGTCGAAACACAGAGCCGATAAGGTTTAAATCACCTGGAGCGATGCATCATGCCCGAACGATGGCTAAAGCGATATATACAATAAAGATTTTTCTTTTCCGCCACCAATTCTTAATGTCGTCAGATGAGGCAAATGCTATACMAGATATTAGTGTGTTCATTTTGAAAATTTATTTGAGACCGTAGATTGAAGATTGATTATTTAAATTTTATTAAAAATATTATTAAATTCAATGAATTGAATGAAATAATAAGCAATGAAGTAACGCTCAAGTTTTCGAATCACTTGTGGTACCTGACACCAGAAGCATCAGGTCTTTCATTTTTTGATAATGCTGTAGACCTTGGGGAAAAGAGAAAAATGGTTGAAAATCTCAAAAAAGAACAAAATAATGAGAAACAAACATGAATGAATTAAACCGAAACAATATTTCAGATTTTGTTAACAAAAAAACAGTGAGCTTTTTCGAAAGATTTAATATTCAAACTAACTTTCTAAAACTTGCCCCATCCAAGTGGCACAATGATTCCGAATTTCAAAAAGGAATGAATATTGTGAAAAACTTACGTGTTGTTAATGATACCGCAGAACGTTTTGTAAAACTTATGGAAGAATATAAAAAAAGGAAGAAGGGAAACAATATATCTTGCAAATATAGGAAAAAATACAGTAGCATTAATAAATCAGACCTTTGCGCTTAAGTTTAAATGATTATAAAGAATATTAATCATTAAACGTAAGTTAATTTCAATATATTAATATACTAAAGACATATATGAAACATTTTACTTATATTTTTGTCCCTTGTCTCTTGAAAAGTCCATATAACCGGCTTTAGCCACTTTAATGGGCATGTGCCACGCCTTAACCTAGGGCAATCAGTCTAAGATTTTGGAATTTCGTTATTGGCATAAAAGGAAAAATTTGAGTGGGCGGTACGCTCTTTCTGCAAAAAAAACAAAATAAGTCCGGTCTTGTGTACATACATACATAAGCATGTAGTGAACACTATTAAGATAAACTAGCGTAACTATATATAAGCAAAGCCACATGCAAACTGAAATTAATGTGCTCAACATCTGCTTTTTTGGAAATAAAATAAGTGGAAATTTTAATTGGTGTACATTGGCTTAACAATTCGTTGATTTTTAAGGCGTTGATTAAGTTAGGAAAACTTACCACAATGACGGCAGTGAGAGCCCCTATTGTAGAACCAGCCAGCACATCAGACCAATGGTGTTTGTAATCGGATACCCTACTCAAGGCCGTGTACCACGCGATAATAATGAATAGGAACTGCAGAAAGTGTCGCAATAGCTTCGACCCATGCCAGTTCATGCGCGATTGTAGGTATAACTGTAAATTAAGAGATAATTCTTTCTTTATAACACAAAAAACATTTGATAATATTTCATACTTACCGCGGTAAAAACCATTGTGTAGAATGTAAAGCTTGAATGTCCACTGGGGAAAGAGAGACGTACTTCTTTTAGCATGCGCTTCGAGGAATCGTCACCTTTGCAGGTGAAATCTTCAATATACCTTCCCACGTTGATAGCATCATCACAAGTGGTGCCGTCGGATATGATGGGCTGGCAAACCTGTTTTACAATTGTATAATGTTTATTGTGATTACATTTTTTATTTACATATAGTTCTCATTTAAAATCAAATATATCTTACAAAGTTATTGTTAATTATGGGAATGAGATATAGTAAGAGTACTCATTCATTTTATGTTTTAAAAGGTCCTTCCTAATAAGAGGATATCAAATTGTTTGATGTTCTCTTGTTGTTCTATATCCATAGTGTTTCCATAGCAACGCTCATCACTTTGAAAACCCATACATATGTAGATGGAGCAACGCTTTCGATATTTGCTACCAAGAATGTTCAAATATATTTGTCAACGCCTGCAGAAAAGCTTATATCTATATATCTATATATGTATATGTAAATAAAAATGAATCGCCAAAATATATGTTCGCTCATAACTTTCATACGACTGAACCAAATTTGATAATCCTTTTTTAATGTCCTCCCTAAGAGAACGGCTGCACCAATCTCGATGAAATTTTCGGAGTTTATTCGTTGAGGATCGGGAAGGTTTAAAAATAAAAATACCTTTTACTTTTCATGAGGAAAAGTCGGAAAATTGGATGGTTCCGAAAAGTAGCTCTTTTTCATGCACATTTTTTTTTTTTTTTAATTTTTTTTTTTTTCGTTTTTCAATATTTTGATTTGTGAATTATTTGAATCATTCAATTTCGGTCGCTTGCTTTTTTATTCCGGCTATTTAAA